CCTCCCTTATCCCCTCCCTCCTCTGGGGACCTCTCTCTCCACTGTGGGAGACCATACTCTGTAATCACCAATGAGAGACTCCACTCTAGCTCTGAGCAGACCCCAGGAGCCCTCCTGCCTCCCTGGCTGCTCTTCCTGCCAATGAACCCCGGCTGCATGCATCTTCCATTTCCTGGCTGCTGGGACACCCTCTAGACAGAGTGTGGCCCCAATTCATTTCTACCTCACCAGCCTACACAGTCACACAAGCCTGGGCCATCTGAGCTCCCAGGTAACTCCTGAGCAGTAGACCATGGTATTCTACCCAGGCCTTTAAGCTGACTCTCCAGGCTCCAGCTTCCCAGGAGGCCGCAGGAAGTCCAGCCCTGCAGAGCAAGACCCTTCCTTGGGGTTGAATTTGGAGCCATTTCTTGCAGCTTTTAAAGCCACCCAACCATGGCACAGTCCATCAGCGCTGGGACACCCTGCAGCATCAGCATCTGCCCCTAACTGGTGGGCTCCAGGGGAAGAAGGTGACAGGTTTATCCAGTTCTACAACCCCAGTGTGCCTGTGTCAGAGCCACCTGAGCTAGGGCACCGGGTGAGAGGCCCCCACTCTGCACTCTGCCCCCCCAGTTTCTGATCTCAGGGTCGAGGCCCAAGACTGCATTTCCATCCAGTCTCCCAGGTGCTTCTCCAAGGACACACAACTTGAGACGCCCAGGTTTAGACAGTGGCTTGGTGCCTATCACCAAGCTGACATGCTAAGATGCTGACATGCTAAGGGGAAAAAATGGGGGGAGGTATCAGCAAGGTTGAGGGTCCCTGAACAAGGCTGGGGAGAGACAGGCCCTGTCTGTGCAGAGGGCTGCAACTGCTGTGTGCCCTGCCAAGGCTGTGGCACATCTTACTCAGGATGTGTGTTCACACGTATCCACTCCCACGGGTGCAGTCATGACATGACTGTTCTCTCCTCACTGGGTTTCTGAATGGGATCCTACATTTAGCCCAGATCCCAACTCAAAGCCTAGAGAACAGGATGGGGAGCAACTGGCCCCCCGACACTCACCTCTCACACACCTGCTATGCCCTCCCCGCGACGCCCACAGGGTCAGCTCTTGCACCCTCCCACTGATAGTCTATAATTTCACAAGAAAAAAAAAGATGCAAAATTTACCCCCTCCTAATTTATGCAAATGATAAGTGCAAGGGAGCTTTCTGAAACATCATAGACGTGCATATAATGAAAAAGTTCTTTAAAAATGAAACTCATCTGCTAACTGCATTTTCCCACAAGACATGTGATGTACCTCGTGCTGTGTATTCTATGTCAAGTCGCTTCTCCTTGCGACTGAATGACTTGGGGACAGCTCCCCATATCAGCCCATGGGGGGATGGGGATTCTCATTCCATTCCTAGGGACGCGTGCTGCTCCTTCACATGGACGGGCCTCACCCACTAAAGCAGCTCTGAACGGACATTTTCCAACTTGTGCTGTGGTACAGATCCAGCAAGATACACAATCTGTTAAAATACACCATGGGTTCAGGTCCCCAACCGGGAAAGCCAAGAGCTGAACTGCTCCAAGTCTGACAATCCTGCAGCAGTTCAGGTGTTAGGGATGCTCCACCTGTGAGGTCTCCGATCAGATTCCAGAATATAAAAAGCATCCGACGCAGAAACACAATGGGACCCAGGCTTTTGGTCAAGGGCTACCAACCTACACCTTCATTCGCGTGCTTTTATTCTATCAGAGATACAAATGTTTTCCCCAGAAAAAAATATTTGTATACGTGCACTTTGACACAGCAACCCGTGTTGATTTGATTCAAGGGCATTTTCGGGAACTGTGTTGACCCTACATTTGACTTGCTGGGTATACTATATAAGGGAAGTTGAATCAGCCAAGCCACACATTTTCCAAAGTGGATCGTGTTCGAGTTACAAGACTTGTTAGTGCCAACTGACCTGACCTGGACCAAACCAAGGACATTTTTTGAAAATAATAAGGACAGCCAGGACATCATGAGGACCGGCATCTCAGGAGATGGATGAGGCCCTGAACTGGGCACGAGGAAGCTTGGGTAGCATTCCTTGCCCTGCCATTGTGACTTCCTCCATAAAATGGAGTGGTGATTCGTGCCCTGCAGACAGCAGAACATTGTTGTGGGAATAAAATGGAAGTGATTTCACGTGTGGGCAATCTGTAACCCATAAAAGTCTGAAACGATGTTTAAATCCTGCTGTCACCTCACACAGCACCGCTCCTGAAGGTTGGTGGAATAAATTCTAAAATATACCCCCATGAAAGAAACTGGCATGGGCCATGACCATTTTAATGAAGTGCACCAAATGGTGACTGTTATACACCATAAAGTAAAACCAATTACATAAACAATCAGGGAATAACTCGCTATTGGCTTAAACCATGATGGCTGGTGTTTTTCTTTTTACTGTTTGCATCCTACCCAGCTTCCCGCCTCATCTACAATTATTAAAAGCAAGTTCACTGCCAACTACCTTGACAGGAGATCCCGTCTGGGAACCACTTACATCTGATGGGGGCAGGGACTATCTTTTGCTAATTAACACCTCGAATATTCTTGGATCCATGGCTAACCCAGTCTCCGTGGATTTACTTGGAAATAATCAATAACATAAATGGGCCCACGATGTTTAAGTATTCTGGGGCCACCGAGGCAGGAATGTCTGGATTTGAGGAATATTAAAAAACTCACCCACTGAGCTCATTACCCCTTCAGCCCACGCTGCTTCCGAAGCAGACAGCTACGGCGGGTTCCTTCCCATCCACCCCTTCTACCCTTTCCAGTCTCTGCCACCTCTTTCTCAGTTCCTGCCGCCATGGCAACAGCCCACTGACCTGGCCTTAGGGGAAACAGCCTCTCTGGCAAGACTTAGACTTTTAATAATTCCCCGTGTCAATACTGGTCAGAGGAAAATGGATGGATTTGCACCAAGTTACTTAACAAACCTAGGAACACAACAGCAGCCGCCAGCAAGTGTCCAGACCCCATGCCCAGAGCCTCCCCTGGGAGCCCCAAACATCACACCATTAGCATGTGAGACATCCATGCCACGGGTACCTGCTCATCATGCTGCCCGCCCCCTGCAGTGTTTCCTTTATTCATTGCCCTACAAGGGTAAAAGTTTGTGCGGTTCTTCATCCCAAGGGATCAATAATCTGTTCATTTCCTCCAAAATACATTTTTCTCCCCCCTGAAAACATTGTCCATTTATTAGGAGGGAGCAGAGAGAGCTGCCAGCTACAGGGGGGTCACCCCTCAAACGCCTGCAACACATCTGACACAGGGAGGTAACATCTTTCACCAAAGAACGCTGTTCATATCCGCGGCCTCCCGGCTCATGTGGCCTTTGGATTCATTTTGGAAATGATCACTAAACAAAAGGATGAAACACCCTTGAACATTTCAAACTGCAAGGCTGTGTTTGGGTTTGAGAAATACAAATCAATGGATTGGGCTGGGAGACTGGAGCTGGGAACTCTGGCCAGCTTCCCCACGTGGGCGGCAGGCCCCCCAGGGTCAGAATGAGGAGGCTGAGGGGCGGGTCCAGGCTGTGCACAGGTGCTCTGCGTGGCATGTGGGGTCTTACCCACTAGACTTATTTTGAATGTGTGCATATGAACACATGCATACTGTTGCACAAGTTTCCTGTTGGGAGGACGTCCAGGCATCCCTGTTTCTTCTGACCGCATTTCCAGGCCCCCAGGAGCATCAGTTCCCATCCCACCACACACGGGCACTCACTCTGCCCGCCTCCTCCCCGTGCGATGTCCTGCTAGGCGGCCCTGCCCCTAGTACCAGATTCCCTTCTGGGTGGCACCACTCTTTGACTCAGAAATATAAACACTGCTGGAGAGATTTATTTTGCAATTCATCTCATGTGGTGTCAGAGCCGGGAAGGTCAGCTTCCAGATTTTTCTATTTTAAATGACTTTGGAACCAATTCTGCAAACAGACTCTTGTCTGGCCTGGCACACACTCTGTGAGCTGGGACTCAGGTCCTTGGCTCTCTTTTGTTAAAATGTCAACCATCAGAAACTCCACTATCTCCCAAATCACTTGTTTGTAAAAGAATTAAACAGGTGCCATGGAGACACTGGGGATAGGAAGAGAAAACAGCAAATTATTTTTTCATGGACCAGCTGCTCGACGCATGTGGTTCCTGAGAAGGCTCTTCTCCACAAGGCCATGAAGCTCAATGAGCCCATCAATCAGGACCCTCTCCCTTCAAGCCAACAGGACCCAGCTGCCACACTCGCCAGGTCTTTTTGGGAACCCTCCAGGTCAAGGCCAAGGCCAGATCGGCCATCCTGAGCTGCCCTGCCTTTGCTGTTCCAACAGGACAGCAGGTCAGCCCACTCCAATTCCGGTAAGAACCAACTACCGCCAGAAGGTGTCGCACTTGCCGCTCATGTCCGCTGTCCCAGTGCAACCTTAGCACCGGGCCGGGGCTGATGGAGCAGCCGGGTCCTGATTCATACAGTGGGAAGCAGACACCACAGTACCAAAGTAAATGGGACCAAACGGGGGCACATCCAAAAAGAAACCTGCTCATGGTGTCTGGGAAAGAAACAGCGACACGCTGGAGAGGGGTTTCAGAAATCCCTAGCCATTTCCAGCTTTCACTCATCTTGCTCACACATAACACGCTCGGGGAGGGGGTGTTCCAAACCCAGCAGGGCCAGTTTTCTTAAGCTTCCAGAGATGGGTACAATTACCGCTTATACCTGCCACCCAAACCTGTAAGCTAGGAGAGACAGCCAGACAGACAGGCTGGCCTGGGTTGCACTGACAAGCCGCCGGGATGCCTGGCCTGGGTAGAACCCTCCAGAGACAATCACAAACACGTTTCCCCAAAACGGTTCACCCCAAAATGCAACTCCCAATCCACTCATTCATGAGTCCTTATGGTGCTGCCCGCACACACGTGAGTAACTCAGGACACACAGGCCATGGCCAGCACACACACGGCCTCACCTTCTCCACTCCCGAGTGCCCTTCGTTGCTGACGCTCGTCTTCCTGGATTCGTTTTTAGACCTGCTCAGCCGCCTGGAGACTTTTTCTCGGAGCAGAGTGGCGTAGCCAATGTGCTCGTAGATGGGGTTCGTGGTCATCTTGGAGATGTACTCGGCAGCTTTCGTTTCTATGTACAGCGTTATCAAGCCATCCGTCACCAGGTCGTGAATGGACTCAAACCTCTTCTCCCCCACGAAGTGCTTGCCATCGTGGAAGAGCCGGTAGTTCAAGGTCTGGTTTCCAAACCTGCCACGGTGGGAGGGATGTGGGATGACGACAGTGTTAGAAACAAGCAGACCGGGGACACACATTGCAGCGGCTGACGGCCGCTGAGAACCTGGTCCAACAGCGACGTGATCTCTCTCGTTCAGTCACTGCCGACACCTTCTGAGGAAGGCACAATGAATGTACCCATTCTGCAGTGTAGGCAACTGAGGCTGGAAGACATGGAGTGCCTGCCGGGGATTGCATGTCTGGAGTGAGGCACAGGTGGGGTTTAGCCAACTCTCATCTGGGGGTCATTGGATTCTAGAAATGCCTGAGGCCACCAGGTCGTCGGCATTCTCACTTGCAAAGACCAGCAGGAACTGCCTGATTGACAAAGTTCTTCTGTGTACTCGAAGGAGCCACCCCTTTCAGATGCTGCCTCTGTGTCTGCCATTACCTCATTTAAGGTATGTTCTAGATGTTTTTCCATTGCAACCCAGACAGGTTTTTTTTTTTTTTTTTGAGGTCGCATGGGGTAGGCACACCCTTGTTGGCTGACCTGGGGAGGGGTCCTATTCCAAACACACTTCACATAGGGACCATTGGAAGACAATGGGATTCCAGCATGGGACTCCTTCCCCAATACTTGCAGAACCACAGTGAGGATCAGCCAAAACAATGAAATCTCTGACCAAGGCATGGAAAATGCACTAAATGCAATGCCTCTCCATGGCTGTGATTTTGGGATCACAGTTTCAGGACAGCCCTGCTCTACTGGCTCCGTGGTGTGTAGCGCCAGGGCCAGCTACTGGAGTTCCTGGGTGAGCTCTGGCTGTTGTGGCTATTTCAGGAGTAAAATTGGATGGAAAAACTTTCTGTCTCTTCTCTCTGCAAAGCTTCCTTTCAAATAAAAATAAGTAAATCTTAAAAATATATATATATTTTTGAAGTTAATGCCAGGAAGGTGGCTTACATCACAGTTCTTTAAAATGGGACAAACGTAAGCAACACCACAATGGCACAGCAACTCACCGTAGTGCCAGAGTGTAGCATCCTGGCTGCCGCTGGCTCTCACGCAGGATGTAGGCGCCTTCCACGCCCCCCAGGAGCTCATCAGCCTGCTCCCGGGATATAATCCCGTGAAACCTGTAGGCAAGACCAGTGATGCTCTGAGCAGACCACGTACAAAGTAGGGAGCAGCAAGAGCAGGCAAAGTGTGGTGGGGCTCCCAGAATCTATGGCCCACTCCCTCAGCTAAACATGGAGCAGGGCCGACTACTTACGTTTAAGGGTAATTTGGAAGCACCGCCTGGTACGCCCCAAGTAGGTAATAAGTACTCAAGTAGACAATAAGGATCCAAATAAATAACAAGTACTCAGGTAACAAAATACCCAAATAGGTAAAAGTACTCAATAAGCATTAAATACCAAAATATGCGATAAGAACTCAAATAGATAATAAATACCCCAGTAATCAATCTATACACAGTAACTACACAAATAGGTAATAAATACCCAGACATCAAGTACTTCAATAGATAATGTCTGAATGGATAACAAATGCTCAATTAGAAAATGAGTATCCAAATGGGTAATAAATACTCAAACACAAAACAAGTCCCTACGTAGATGATAAGTACTCAAGTAGACAATGAGTATTCACCCAGGTAATCAGTACTCAAGCAGATGAAAAGTACGAAAATAGGTAATAAGGACTCAAACAGACAGTACCCAAATAGGTAATGAGCACTAAATAGACAGTAAGTACACAAACGGTAATAAGGACTCAAATGAGCAAATACAGGGAAGAAAGTCCGGACCATCTGCTTTTCTTGCAGTGTTTTTGCTCAGTCTAAAAATGAATCAAAATGCTCCTTTTTGAATCATGGGAATGACACAAAGTACAACTGTCAACTGAGCCTTCAGCCCAGACAGAGAGAACTGTGGAATTCCTGACTGCTAACGCGTGCCACTCATTGCCACCAGCTTGGTTCAGGAGTGCTGGCTGTTCGTCCCAGTGGCTGGGTCTCTGCGAAAAGCAGCAGCTAACTGGATATTTGGAGGGCAGGAGTTTCAGGGTATGTCTGGAAAGTGTTCCTGTTGCTCTTCCTGAAGGCAGCATCTATCTCACTTTTCTACCCCTGAAGGGCAGACTGGGGAGGGCTGTGGGCACAGTGGAGCTCCTGTGGGCAGGTGTTCCAGGCCTGCACACTGGGGCTGGGTGCAGAAGGACAGGCCGGCCACCTCCAGGCTAAACAAAGACAGCTGCTCACCCCCCACGTGGGCCTGGAGATCTTGAGGCTTCAGAAGCAGGCGGCTGAAGGCTGGGTGGGGGTTAGGCCAGTGCCGGAACTCTACACACCCGCCGGAGGGCACACCTCTTTCTACGACTACCCAATCTTGGAAGACACTGGGGACTCAATCAGGGAAGAAATTTTCTCAACTGAGTTAAAACAGCTTTTCATTCTTGAAAGAAAAAAGGGGTAGGGAAAACAACCCCTCCCCTCCTCACCCTGGAATGTAAAGACCAAAGGAGAGGACGAAGGCAGCGGGCAAGGATTTGAGAATACATTCTTTCTTGCACCTGCCAACAGAGGTCAGAGAAGCCAGCAGCAGCTCGGACTTGCCCTGAAGCCCAAGGCTTAGCAGGGAGCTTTCTGCTTCCCAGGTTTGCTTTTCAAATCTCAAGAGCTGACTCCTGCATGGGGACAGGTGTGCTGTGATCAGAGTCCATCCTGCTACTCCCCCACACTGCCCAGGAGAGCAGTGTCCCCACCTCCTGAGCGAGGAGAGTCGGAGTCCAACAACACGGGGCATGGATGGGATTGGGAGTGGTCATCCAGTTTACGGGGATCCTGGAGGAACAGTGTTTGGGGCTATGGATGGTGAGTGAGGCCACTGGAGCGGGGAGAGAAGCCTCTAGTACTGTGTGAATCAGGCTGGAGGGGGCTGGACAGACACTCTGGGTAAAAAGGTCTGGGGTGGGGGCAGGCCTGGCAGGGACCCTGTAGGAAGGTGTGTATGTGTGTGTGTCTCAGGGTCACATCAGAAAGCTGCCTTGGCCCTCGCCAGACAGGGCAAGAGTTGAAATCAGAAGTTGTCAGCCTGGGACATCCATGACACAGCAGGATAACCACTGCGGGGGAGGGGGGGCGCCAAATCAGAGCACAGGAATCTGGTGCTGGCCCCAAGGCACTGCCAGGGGCAAGGGTGGGAAAAGAGGGGACTGGGATCCCAGGCAGACAGCTAACTGAAAGCAGCGTAGTCTGAACTTAATGGCTTGGCAAGTTCAAGCAATGGCCGGCCGTAGACAGAGTGCCCAGAAACCAAGTCAATTGTGTAAAAGAAGAACACAACCATTTTGTGCACTTGACGATCCGGGATGTGGTTCATTATATTTTCTGCATGATTTGAAAATGTCCAGAAATCTATGCATAAATTTCAAGCACATGATTGCAACTTGGTTTAAAAACAAAAAACAAAAACAAAAAAAAGAACAGAAAGAAAGGAAAGGAAAGAAGTTAATAAAGTTAATGAAGATTTTCTTTTTGGTGGACCTGTGAACATTTTCCCATCTTTTTTCCAAGTCAGCAGGTACTAGTTTATTCAGTATTTATAAAACAAAGCTAAAGCCTTGCCCAATGAGAAAATTCAGACAGTGGAGAGAGAGAAAAGGAAGCAAAAATTTCAACAGTACGACAATAAAAGCGATTGTTGGCAGTTTCTTATGAGTTCTTAGGGGAAAAAAACGTGCAGGAGCATCTCCTGAAAAAAGGTGTATTGTATTTTTGCATGAAAGGAATATAACCCTCTATTTTAAGAAATGGATGAGGGGCAGGAGTTTATAACCACACTCTGATGCCCCCTTCCCACACTGAAACCTAGGTTCATGACCCATCTCCAACTCCAGCTCTGGCCAATGCAGACCCTAAACGCATTGGCTCAATGGACTGGGTTGCTGCCACACGCATGAGAGGCCTGGATTAAGCTCTGAGCTCCCGACTTCTACCCTGGACTAGCCCTGGCTGTTTCATGCCCTTGGTGAGTGAACCAGTGGACTCTCTTTGTCTCTCAAATAATAAATAAAATTTTTTAAAAGAGGGGGAAATATAGAAACTGAAGTTTATAAGCTAACTTTCTTGTGATACCTGCAAAAAATATCTGCTAGGTCTCTTCTCACTATAAATTTTAATCAAATTGGGGTTGAGAGGATAGAAACACACAAAAAAAATTAAATTAAAAATTTAAGCAAAAATATATGGAAAGCAGAATTTCTTTTAGAATTCATGCATAAAAGTTTATGAAAGAACTTTATTTTGTTGGTAAAAAAATAGATTGAAAGATAAGTTTATTTTACTGCAAAAATTTGAAAACTACACTTTTTTAATAATATGCATTTTCCATTAGCTTTTTGAAAATGGCTCATATATGGAATTTTCATTTTTTTTCTTTTATAAAATCATATTATCTGTGACATACATTGAGGAAAAAAGTCATACTACAGCTCAGATTGGCTACTACAGCTGTGGGGGTGGAGGAGAGAGGAGGCAGGCTCCCCGAGTTGGCATTCTAGCGGTGCTGGTTCAATCCCCACAGCCTGGCAAGGGAGGTCCTCAAATGCAGCCATGGTAATTGGGCGTTGCTCTGGCATGGGGCACTACGAGAGTCACTGGTTGTGAAGATGAGGCCCCAGTGGATAAGAGGGAGAGGAAGGTGGTTTGGGGTTGGTTTCAAGAGCTGGGGAGGTAGAGTTAAAAGAGATTTTACCTCCAGATTGGATGTGGGAAGAAAAGGGATGCGTGTACCTGCTCTGTCTGTGCTGTTTGACTCGACCCCTGGCAGGAGTCTTAGAAAGCACGTTACTTTATGGTCATCTACTGTCTTTGCAGTAGGTTTCTGAGAAAGTGGAACAATATAGGAGTCAGAATTAAGAGGGAAATGGGGAAGGGCAACAATGATAGCAGGCAAGGCAATTGGCTAGGATCTCCAAGTCAAGTGGAATCATCCCCTTGGTTCTATGCAGGGAAGCGGGCTGCCTTGCCTGAATACTGTGCTTCCTGAGAGACACACAGCCAGCCAGGAGGATCACTGGCACCCTCAATGTCGATAATGCATTGCACTAGAGAGCGAGAAAACACTCACAGAGAGGCCTCACAGTCAAGGCCTTGCGGGCATGCAGTGGCTGCTACTGTGGAGCAAACAGTACTGTGAGACAGTCTTCCTCCCACACTCTGGGAAACTAAGCACCTGAGTGGCACCAAGCAGATGCAATACAGAGAGCTCTGATTGCATTTGTTCTTATCGTGAAACTCCTGCACAATGGATGTGGGGTGAGGACTTGATATTAGAGAATTTTTAATATTTAATATTTAAATGACACACAGAGTGACTACTTATTAAATTATTAAAACAAAGAATAGCAGAATACATACTCTCTTCCATAATATTTTGGTCTGTTTTCCACCTATATTAAAAAGAAGAAAAATATTAGTAATGCATTTTCATTCAAAGCAGCTCAACACAAATACGACTCAAACAAACAGGGCTAGGGTCCCCATTGGTAGCTTCCTTCTACAATCTATCTCCAAATCAGAGATTTGTGAACTTGCAGCACCAACCCATCCCACTATCCTGCGCAGGAATGATCTAGCCTCATCCCATTTTTCTAATCATTAAGCTCATGCCCCACCCCAACCTAGCCACTTTATAAAAGAATTCCCAAAAGAAAAAAAAAAAGATGCTGCTTAGTCATATTAAGGAATTTATGAACTTTCTCTTGATGGAGTTAAAAAAAAAACCCACATGATTTCTGGCATGAATAAAACATAAGCATGTATTTCAATCTTCACCTTGTTGTTTGTTATTTATCTATAGTAAAACTGAGACAGAACCTAGATTAGGAAAAAACAAATTAGACCTAATTAATTCTCTTGCCTGTAAAATCAACATTCTTTTTCCGCTCCCCACAAACAGCTAATAGGCAGAATGCTATTTGTCACTCGCCATACGAGACATAAAATAATGTGGGAACTGACTAAAATCACAACTTCCTGCAAAGATTTTATCATCTCAGTTTTCATCTTGAGTTCATCTCACAGGTCTGGGATCGCATGTATGGTAACACACTTACACAAGAACATAGGTTTCCTATGTTTATGCTGTTGGAGTTAGAAATTAACATGACTGCTCATGTTCAGCTCTGCTTCTTCTGGTCTAAGAACAAAAGATTAGTGAGCTCTACTCAGAATACAATAAAGCGTGACTGGGTTATGGAACGCTTTGAGTGACAGCAAGGTGAAGTTCATGCGCTGAAGTGGAGCATGAGTCTGGCAACTACGCTGTTTCCAGTCCTTTCTGTCAGCAGTCACATGGGCACAAGGGTGGAATGTCCACACATTGGCCATCTCCTGGACTAGCTGGCTCCCGCCCTGCCCAGATGAGGCAGGAATGCTTGGCAGGCAGAAGGATGCTAAGGCAAGAGGCTGCAAAAGTGGGGAGCCATATCTCTGTGGACACACTGACAACTCAGCCCAGGACAAGCTGGGATAAAACTCATCATCTAGACAACTCTAAAGATGTGCTCAGTCTTGCATGCATTTTACATCTGAGAAGCACTCAACCAAGAGGTGCACTCATAACTCTTAATCTTCCAGACTGGGAGTCTGTGCAGTGTCATTTGTGAAGATTTAAATAATATCATTAATGGGAGCATGAAGTATATAAAACGGTGCTTCATTATCAGATGTCCTTTCTATAAATGATGTGTACCATTAACTGTTCAGGCTGGTAAGATTTTTAACATGAATTGAGTATTTCATCATTTGTACTGGCTTTCCAAGTTCTTTCTTACTTTAATGATACTGTAGACACAGATTGCAATACCAAACACACCATAACAGAAAGACGAACAGAAGTATCATAAAATGGCATAATACAAAGATATTTCAAGACATTCATGGAAAAATAAATTAAGATGATCGTGACACAAAATTTCTGAAATTCATGAATAGATTTTTCATAATATGCATTTTTTTATATCCTTCCATTCTTTGAGAGGCAATATTCCAAAAAAATTGAACTGGTTCCCTAGACAAGGATGGTTTATTTCTACCTTTTTGGCTGAACCATATACATAACACAAGTTTGCAAATCTTGGTGTAGTTCCCAACCCGTTCTCCTTTATCTCACTTCCCCAAAAGAAGAATAATTAATCAAACTTTCAGGTGGGCAGCATGGCAGATAGAGCCCGCTCTTTACTCCCAGCACGAAGGAAAGCACTTAATAAATGTGGAATGTAACGGACTCTTAACAAGATGCTAATTGTTTTCAGTTTATCCATGAGTCATACAAATACACAACACACTTATTAGTTTCAGGGCTCAGTCCTGTCATTGCTCAGAAAGTAATGGTCTTGCGGGTGCTAGGAGCAGGGTTCTGTGCTCACTACAGGAGAGACATACTTCAAGGGACATACAGCAAAAGGAAAACAGGGATGTCAATATTGATGGTGCCTTGAGGGATACAGACTAGACTCCCCAGAGCAGAGTCTGGTTCAACGGACAAACCTTTTCTATACGAAAACCACCAAGAAATGAAACAAGATCATTAGCTCATGTGGGACAGAGTAGGGTCATAAAAAAGGTCCCAAATTTCACATGAGACATACATGAAAATAGTTTCTGTTCATTTGAAGTTCCAATTTAGGCATTCTGGTTGTATTTTATCTTTCTTACTTTTAACCTAACAGCTAGAGAACAGATAACCGTCTTGGTGTGTGTGTGTGAAAGAAACAGAGACAGAGAAAGAGAGAGAGAGAAATATGGTTGAGATGAAGTCAAGAACTTCTCTCTTTTAAATCTTTTGCTCACAGGAATCTAAACACAGTCTCTAAATCTACCCTTCACTAGGTTTCGAACCACGTGAGAGGCAAATTTCTAAGTAAAACAGTCCTAGAAGAACGTCCACATTTCTAGTGTGGCACGCTTGTGGTTTCTCAGATCCAGACAAGCACAGTGCCAGAATTCCTTGGGACCAGGGACTTGCCTGCAGAGACCAGCAAGCTCCTCACTGCCACCAAGCACTTAAGGGAGTCCGATTCATTCACCACGCTGGTGTGCATGGGATCAGGACCCTCCTGTGAAATGTAAATTTGATTTTCTCAAGAAGTACTGCGTTTCAGATGCTAGTCGCATAAGATTTTCATCCATGAATATGAATGAAACAGAGGACAGCTGATAAATAAGAAAGCAAAGCAACACAGAAGTTCTTGCCTTCTCATACAGAAGGCAACTTGATAAAATAAAAAATATATGGGGGACTAATTTAGGTGGTCCCAGAGACACAGGCAAAGAGGGAAATTCTAAGAATCTCAACATGCAGGGAGGTGGTTTTTGGAGCTCCCTGCCACTGTCAGCAGGAATGTTACAGGGTGGGCTCTGCCATGCCTGCCCTTGGTTTTTAGTACTTCAACTCCAAGAAAAGAATGCAGCCAAGCTATGAGAAAAGGAAAACAACGTAAGACACCACTAGATCCTACAGTGCTGGATCACTTAGCTCACAAAGGAAGACCTCTCCCCAGTGCAATATCACAATGAGCACACACACGAGTTGTCCCTGAGGTCCAGGCAGCTCCAGTGTACATGGGGTGGGCCATGTAGGGTTGTGACAGACACTATAAGCACAAGTGAGGCGCCAGCAGTGAGTTAAGACTGTTTGCTATGCTGGCATCACTTCTGGGGGCATTGGTTCAAATCCCAGCTGCTCTGCTTCTAATTCAGCTTCCTTCTATGTGTCTGGGAAAGCAGCAGGCGGTCTGCCAGCCACATCTAGATGAAATTCCAGGCTCTTGGCTTCAGTCTGTCCCAGCCATGGCTGTCGCAGCCATGTGGGAAATGAATCAGTGGACACATTTTTCTCTGTCTCTCCCTCTCTTTCCATCACTCTCTCTTTCTAATAACTAAGTAGATACATCTTTTAAAAGCCACTGAATATTTTATATTCAAGTAAGTTTCATCAGTCAGAGAGTAAGTTCCCCCCACCAAGAGGGACATGCCATGCCATGGATGGCCCTGTTGATCAGATCATTGGAATTCCTCTTTCGTCACTGCCATATGACACACACTGTCCTTTCTTTAGAAGACCCTTTCAGCTCCATTTCTCTAAGAGTAAGCTGGACATTTAAAGCAGAAACTTCTGGATGCTTGTTAAAGATGGAGGATTCTGGATTCCCCACTTCAGACCAACCAAGCCAGGATGTATAAGTGTGGAAATATGCTGAGTTTTGTGATCAAGCCCCATCAATGATTTTTTTTTTAGCACATCACAAAAGTCAGAGTTACTTCTATGTAGAACACATGGGCTTGACTGCGGATGTAATTTCAGCAAGCAGGTGTAAGTGATTCATAGTGAAGTCAGCACAAGGGATTAGTAATCAGACTAAGCGTGATAATAAAATAGCAAGATTTTTATACTGCGACTTACTCTGAGAAAATCTGAGAACAGACTTTGACACACTCTAAGTCAATGTGGACTTAGTGAAGATATAAGCACAGCTTCTCAGGATAACTGACGGGAAGGACCATGCTCATGCAAACTGGCCCTCTGTGTCCTCTGGTTCTGAATTTGCACTGGAAAAATTCAGAACATAATTCCAAGAAGTTCCAAGAAGCAAAATCTGAATGTAGCATACATAGAGTACTACCCCGAGTCTGCAAATGAAGTGATGGGCTGTAGCATGTGTGGATTTTTGTGTCTGTGGGGGTTCCTGGAACTAATTCTCTACAGAGACTAATAGATGACTGTTTGCTGAAATACAATCCATTTTGTGACTTTATATTCATTTCCTAAATACAATTAAATCATCAGTGCCATGACTACTGCCGCTGGTTTGGTCCTGACACGTCGGTCCATATTGTGCACATGGTGTAGAGAAAGCCAAAGAGGCTTCCAGACCTATGACCTCATCACCACCTCGTGACATCCCACACGCCAAACAGAATTCTCTTGCTCTCCATAAGTGCACTTCTTCCAATATGTTCATCATGCTTATGAGGTCTGTTCTTAAGATTCTGAATTCTCCTGCAGAAGGGGCAGATGGTAAGGTAAGGGGCCCAGCATGATAGCCTAGTGGCTAAAGTGCTTGCCTTGAATGCACGCCGGGATCCCATATGGGCGTTGGTTCTAATCTCGGTGGCCCAGCTTCCCATCCAGCTCTCTGCTGTGGCCTGGGAAAGCAGTCGAGGACGGCCCAAAGCCTTGGGACCCTGCACCTGCGTGGGAGACCTGGAAGAGGCTCCTGGCTTCAGATTGGCACAGCTCTGGTTGCTGTGGCCACTTGGGGAGTGATCTTGTCCCTTTGTCTCTCCTCCTCTCTGTACATCGGACTTTCCAATAAAAATAAAATAAAAAGAAGAAGGTAGGAAGGCAAGCTGCAGGGCCAAGCCCAGAGCTGTCCAGTGAACAGCA